ATTCACCACTTGTAAGGTAGTAGACTGGGTAAAAGTTGGACTAGGGTCTGGCACCCAAATTTCGAACTGAGCGAATGTCGTTGGGAAAGGTTCTGACCTCCAGGCACATTGGAGTGGATATAGGTACGGTAAAGCGCCTGACTGATATTAGACAGCATGCGGTCACCCACAAGTGTAAATATGGCGGCAGGTCCTTGTGACACTAATCAGCCTAACCGCTGGCAGCCTTGGGCCGCAAGACAGTGAGGCGTTACGGCATAAGGCGCAGGTGGCTGCATTGCATACATCCTCAACGCCTATTTGTTGAGAACAAAAGCTAGAAGGTCGACCCCTGTCTTGCGCTGCGTGACGTTGCTTGAAGGCTGTCGCAGGGGGGATGGAGGAATGAGGACATTGGACAATGTTGTGGGCACAGTACGCCTCACTCACCAGCAGACTGCCACGCCACAGGCCACAGAGCGTAGGCCCTGTGCATGGCGTCATGTGTGTGACCTGTGATTTTCGTCTCTGAGTTGCCTCCCTTCATTTCCATTGACTTGCTCTCTTCATCATGTTGAACATGGCCACTGCATGAGTTCGCCATTAGATGAAGAGCGCCACTCTTCAGCGCCTTGTAGAGCTTCGAATGCGATTTTGACCTAATCTCATGGATGTCGAAAACGTGACGGAGAGAAAAGGCTTTTCTGCCCTGGCACGAAGGATTGCCGCCATACCAGACTACGAGACGTTTGTTTTCCGTAAATTTGATCGACTCAGCGCTCGAAATCTTCTTCATCTCGAAAGCAGACTCGCATATCTCGAGTGGAGGCTGGATCAAGTTGATCAACAGGCCGCACAAAGCCCGAATAACGAGACACTTCGGTCCATCCGTGCATGGGAAGCTTTTGAAGACAACGCAAAAGATCATAGGCGTCCCGAACATGAGCGGATGCGTATAGAAATAGAGATCGGCAATGTTTTGAACGAATATCGTTAGTTCACCACCCCCAGAAGCCATATCTGTCGTTGCTGACCGGGGTGGGAGAGAGATAGATGGAGCATTGTTACGTCAAAGCCAAATCGCCGCACTCGAGTCCCCTCAAAAGAGGGCTCTGAAGGTAGCACGTGCACATTCTAGAGACCAGATTCATGACGCCCTTGGCAACAAGAGCTACGAACGTCCGCTCCTCAGTGGACTTGCCGAATCGCGACTTGACGAGATTAATCAGACAGATCTAGTTGCGGTTAGGCGGCCGGCTGATGGCGACCTACTATCACGTTTTCTTCAAGATCATTGGATGTTTAAAGTTAGTTTCTACCAGAAACCGCCCTAACAACTGTTCACTGACAGGAGAGAGACAACACGCCTGACAGATGAAACGGAGCACATATTGGAAAGCCACATCACCTGGGCAGCAGGAGTATTCAGCACATTGATTGCGGCGCTGCTGTTGCTTGGAGCGATCGTCGCTCTTCGTCTCATCAAACAACAAGATGTGCAGTTGGGAGTGATCGCAATATTTACTGTCCTTTTCTCGGCGAGTGTAAGAGTGATGACCAACGCAAGAAGGGCGGAAATTTTCGCATCAACAGCAGCTTATGCCGCTGTACTGGTCGTTTTTGTGTCCTCATCACCGTTATCACCTGATTCGACTTGCTGCACAAGCGCGCCATAAACAAGCCTTGCCCTCCAGGACCGGATCAGGAGCCCGCGAACATAGTAGCCTATTTTCGAAGGCACACTGAAGGCACACTGATGTTTGTCGGCAGAAACCGGCAGCTTTAGAATGCCACGGCTTCAAGCCTTGCTTATAACATGAAGACTATCTATTGTGTCATTATATAGTTGACTGTGATAAATAAATGTGGAATTGGTCTGTTGGGACTAATCTGGGTGACGAAGGCTGTATTGGGGCGCCATGCTTGCCTCCACTACCCTTTGCCAAAACTGCAACGCGAAATGGGCAGCGACTGGTCGCTGATATACTCGTGTGAATTGTTGGGTTTTAATTCCCAGGTGTTAGGCCCCCTAGACACATCGGTCAACTAGAATGGATCGATAAAGAATCGCAGAACCCAAGGCTGCTTCATCAAAACCTCGATGTGTCCTGTCCCGAAGACACCCAAAACCCGCCCTCCGACATATAATACTCAAAAAGTCTTTGTTCAAAGACGCAAAAGTTTACCCTTACGAATCGCCCAAGGCGCGATTGCCACAACATGAGCTAACGTGCTTCCAGACATTATGTTCCTGACAAGACGAGTCTGTCTCGTAAGCGCGGAGGAGCAGAGCTGTCTGTGGTTTCCTCTAGCGGCCGAAGACTTGTCGCCATTATCGTTGATCATTGTTGCCTGTCAGAGTTTTGAATAATCTTGAAAAAGAAGCGTTGAAATTAGTGGGTTTAAGCTTTACTCATCTCCCACCAGGGTCCAACGAGAGAAAAGCTCACAGCTTGTGGCGATGTATCGTGGTCTGTGCCTACGGTCTGCCACTCTCAGAATAAGGTTGTTTCGCGTCCGATGCATCGCCGATGTAATTGATGTGACAAGCCGCTTAATCTGCTCCTAGGAACAGAGGTACCGATTGTAAGTAATTTGGCCATCTTCATGAATTTTATGATGATTTGAACGTTGTTCGCGCTGAAATCTCGACCGGCAAGCATCCAGGGCGACCGTAATGCGCGTATTCGCGATTTGTGAGTGTCCATTGATATTTTGCAGGCAAATATCACGTTCGCGACGTGATGACTCGATGATTTGCCGTAACAAACCCATCATCTGGATTTGTCAAGATGGCCTCGACGTCATCTCTTATGACGGATGTGAAAGCCTGTGGTTCCGGTGATTACGATGACAGCGGCGAGAACGATGAGACGAGAAGTCGCCTTCGCACTCTTCAACACCACGGTAATCGCTGGCCCTGTTTCAAGGGCGCAATGTGGGCCACTGTACATATTTGGGAGCCGCAATCACGAATGCGGTTCGCCTGAACAGATGTTACAGATATGGTCCGTAAATTAGGTTCCAATGGCAGGCAGTGCACGGGGTTCTTGATGGTCACCCGAATCCTCGGATTCGCGAAGAACACGAAACCCGAGGGTTCGGCAACTGCGGATCTCGGGAGGGGCTGAGTTCAGGAACATATCGACTATTCCCCGACATTCGTCCAATCATGAACTTACTTTCAATCGATAATGGCACGCTCCTGAATTACAAGTCTTCCATCGCAGGGAGGGCGAGGCTGACAGGTGCCGAAATCCCGGCCCCCTGAATTGGGAAGTATTGGAGCCGCTCTCAAGCCTGTGATATGAGTAACAAACCGCTCGAGAGACGAGGTTGGAATTTCTCTTCTTTTTCTCTCTCATTCGATCTCAGGATATTCTTTATTCTCTTTCTGTTCTTCGTCCTTCATTATTTCCAAGTGCACTTATACACACTCCTTCTAACTTTCCATTCTACACAGGCCAGTTTTCGGGCACTCCTTGATCGCAATGGCAGCCTCAGGGGATGGAAAAGACGAAAAAATTGAATTCGTACTTTACAGATACGATCCCTCGTTGGCGGCAGCTGTTATCTTCACGTTGATTTTCCTCGGCATCACAGGATTCCACACCTACAAGCTAGTTACCACAAAGACATGGTTTTTTGTATGCTTTGTGATCGGAGGATACAGTAAGTGATGGCTCATTGAACGTCTCGGAAGAGAAGCATATTAACTTTAGATTTAGTGCAAGTAATTGGTTATGCCGGTGTACGTTAGCCTTCTCGATCTACAGAACATCGTGCTGACCCACCCAATTTATTAGAGAGCCGTTTCTGCCACACAGAGCCCCGACTGGACAACCCCTCCCTACATCACGCAGACAATATTTCTCCTCATCTCGCCCTCTCTATTCGCTGCAAGCATCTACATGATTCTCAGTCGCGTAATTCTCGTCGTTGACGGCGAGCACTGCTCGCCGATCCGACGCGTCTGGCTGACCAAGCTATTCGTCCTCGGAGACGTCTTGTCGTTTCTGATGCAAAGCGGAGGTAAGCAGCTGCGTGGCCCACGCTCAAAACATTCTTTTAAACTGCGAAAACAGGCGGCGGCATGATGGCCGGTGGTACTCTCGATGCCATGCACAACGGCGAACGAATCGTCATACTGGGTCTCATTGTGCAGATCATCTTCTTCACTCTCTTCGCCGTTACGGCGGCCCTGTTCCACAGACGATTCGCGCGTAGCGTCGCTGCGAGGGTTTCGGCCTCGAACATCCCGTGGCAGAGGTATCTGACAGTCCTCTACGTCGCGTCTGGGCTGATTATGGTTCGCTCGCTCTTCCGCCTAGTAGAGTATATCCAGGGCAACGCCGGCTTTTTTATCTCGAGGGAGGTCTTTCTTTACCTTTTTGATGGCGCTTTAATGTTTTTGACCATGGGTATATTTGCCTGGCAACATCCTGGGGAGCTCAATGCTTTGCTGGAAGGGATTCCTGGCAAGCATGGCTACCGGTTGGATTCAGTGGGGTAAAGTAAGGGTTTGAGGCGGACATAGGGCTCAAGGCGAGAGAGTGTGCAACTTGTGGCGTCTGGTGGATTGAGAAAACGGCTTTTGTAGTCGACGTATATGCTTGCCGATGGGGACGATAATGGCATCAGCCGAGAATCATTGCTTTACACCAACAACACCTTTTCATATGAGGCATTGGAATTACTCTGAAACCCTGAGAACCAGCTTCTCCCCGCTGACCTCCTTGTTCCTCAACAGCTTGAGCCCGTTCTCAACCCGTTCAAGAAGGTTCTGTCCCTCCACCACGCGGTGCGGGTTCGGCCGTATGACACCCTGTTCCAGGAGTGTTGGCACAATCTCCGATTGCATCTTCTCCTTGAATTCCTCATTCTGTGTCAACGTCAGCAGATTATCGCACCACCACAAATAGAACTAAACCCACTCACCTCAAGGTAGAAATGCGTCCTTACACCCGAGACTTCAACACCCTCCTCCCACTTCCCGACGGAAAGCTCCGACGGGCTGGTCATCTGATACTCTGGCGCCTCCGTCTCGCTCGCATCCTTGATGATGACAGGCAGCATGACAGCAACCTTGGACCCGCCGCCAGCAAGCTTGGTGATCGGCTGCAGCGTCCCCGTCAGGTGCCCGATGCAGTCAATGGCGTACGGGACCGGCTGCCCTCCGAGATGGGCGCGAATTTGCTCGACGACATCAGCGTCGCGGTAGTCGAAAGTCGTCTTCGCGCCAAGCTCCCGCAGGTACGCGTGGTTCTTCCTGCTCGCGACGGCTATGAGATTCGCGTAGCCCCAGTGTCGCAGAATCTCAATGGCGTACATGCCCACACTTCCCGCGCCGCCCCAGAGCAGAATGGGCTTCTCGGCCTCGGGAGGCGTCCAGTCGGCGGGACGGGGCCACGGCAGCGGTAGTCCGAGGTCGTGTACCACAGTGTGGAAGACGGTGATGACGTGGTCCTGCGCCGTGACAGCCTCCTCGGGCTTGAGGTTCTTCGGCACACGGCCAACGAGAAACGACGGCACGGTCACGTAGGTTTGCAGCGCGGCTTCTTTGCCGCCGTCGACATTGCGGAATGAGTAGCCGACGACTGCGTCACCCAGGCTGAGTTCGGGCCCCGTATGCGGGCCGGAGCCGACGGCGGCGACGGTGCCGGCAAAAGTGTCACCGAGGATGTACGGATAGCTGTCTATGACGAGACCGCCGTCAGCCTGATGGATATGGTAAGGCGCGATGGCAGCCCAATCGACCTTGACGACGACTTCACCCGCTTGAGGCTCGCGGGTCGGGACGTCAAGCAGAGTCAGCGGCTGGCGGGGGGCCTGAACGGCGACGGCAGGGTGTGTTGCTGGAAGGGTCATTGTGACGTCAAGCTATGTGGGATGAATGTAGTCGAGAGAGGAGTTATCACTGGAAAGAGTGTCTGTTGAGCGTCGATCTAGAAGCGGCATAATGAAATGTATATAGATCATATATATACCCGAAGACTCCAGTAGACGCTCATGCGACTGAACCCTGACAAATGTTCTGGGCATGCCATTGTTTGTCAGCGCGAGGAGAGCTCCGTGGCGATCTTTCAATGGATCCAAAGAAGACAGCACAGCATTGGACCATGATGTGCGAGAAAGGTGTAAGCCGGTGGAACCTGGGTCACCTCCTCGGTTAGCGGCATCCCACGGTCGCTCTCATGTGCAGGATGGTGTTTTGTGGTTTGCTGTGAAGGCCAGCCACAGTGTGGAAGGGTTGCTCAGCTCCTGGTGTTCACGTCATTCATGTCAGCAACAGGAGGGCGACAGCGGATGGTTGTCTGATTCCTGGACTGAGGCTCATGCCAGCTTATTTTGATGGTGGGAGCCTCCATTGACATTTCAGATACCCATGTGGAAGGATAAGCACCACCATGGCTTCACTGGCTGTGAATTGTTGGGGTACAATGTTGTACACCACCTGTGAGGGGTCCATGGAAGTCTGGACTTTTCGGCTCACAGCAGTTGTCAGACAAGCTGGGTCGTCATGATCTGGGGCTCAACTTGAGACCATCTGCAGTGGTTGCAGGCATATGAATTTGAGACCTATTCATCGCTGCACTTTGGGGATTTTGCATCTGTCAGTAACCTATTGAGAGTCACCATTTCCTTGAGCTGCCGAGGTCAATGGGGCCAAAGCTAGGAGTCAGCGACAGTCGACAGAGACTGACGGCCTGCCAGCACAACAAACCAGGATATCCAAACCAGAACGAGCGTCCAGACCAATTAACAACTTGAAAGGAACTGTGACTCTCTTGTGAACTATGTCTTGGTCGCCTGGTATGACCTTGGCTCCAGCAATAGGCTGATAGAACGGAACCATCATGAGCGGGTACCATCGGATCAGGCCCAAGTGCCGTCGGTCGCATCGGCGCGCCCTTTGAAGACATGTCTGCCCCTCATTCACGCTGGAGTCACAGTGCATGTTGCGAGTGTCCTAATCTCCCATCGCTTCTGGTCCGACGTCGGCTGGCTTGGAGCCGGCGCGACAGATGCTTAAATATAATGCCATGTCGTCGGGGCCTCAGACCAGCTCGATGGCTTCCAATCCATTCAAGATCACCTCTGTGAGAAGACCCAGATCCGCATTTGCATGAACACGACTTCAAAAATGGTCTTCAACGAGTCGTCCACGGCGAACCCTGCGCCTCTTGGCTCGGAGTCGCAAGGAGAAGGCGTCCCAACCTCGTCTCTCAGCAAAATGGCACTCAACGGCCCCCGAGACTTTGGCAAAGGCCTCAGGGACGAGTTCTGCTTCGATCCTGAATGGAGAAACATGAACAATGGTAAGTCGCCCGGCCCCTTGCCGGGCCAAGAGGCTCGTTCTAACAAACGCCCAGGGTCCTTCGGCTCAACACCGCGCGTCATCAAGGAGAAGCAGTTTGCACTGCAGCTCCGCGCCGAGGCCGTGCCGGACCTCTACACCCGCTACGAGTACCCGGCGCACCTCGACGCGGCGCGCGCCGCCCTCGCCGCGCACTTCCACGCGCCGGTCGAGACGATCGTGCTCGTGGCCAACGCCACGACGGCCGTCAACGTGGTGCTGCACAACCTCGTCTGGGACCCGTCGGGGCGCGACGAGATCATCTCCTTCTCGACCGTCTACGGCGGCTGCGGCAAGACCATCGACTGCATCACCGACACGAAGCCGCTCGTCGCGCAGCGCGTCATCGAGCTGCGCTACCCGGCCGACACGGACGCCGCCATCGTGCAGCGCTTCCGCGCCACCGTGGCCGCGGCGCGCGCCGCCGGCCGCACGCCGCGCCTCGCCCTCTTCGACACGGTCTCGTCCATGCCGGGCGTGCGCTTCCCCTACGAGGCCGTGACGCGCGCGTGCCGCGACCTCGGCGTCCTGAGCCTCGTCGACGGCGCCCAGGGCGTTGGCATGATGCCCCTCGACCTCGCCGCCCTCGACGCCGACTTTGTCCTCTCCAACTGCCACAAGTGGCTGCACGTGCCGCGCGGCTGCGCCTTTCTCCACGTGCCGCTGCGCAACCAGCACCTGCTGCCCTCGACGCTGCCGACGAGCCACGGGTACGTGTCGCCGCGGCCGTCGGCGAGGATGAACCCGCTGCCGCCGCGCGAGGCGGGCAAGTCGGCGTTTGAGGAGAACTTCCAGTTCGTCGGCACCGTCGACAACACCTCGTTTCTCATGATCAAGGATGCGCTCGCGTGGCGGGACAAGGTCCTCGGTGGGGAGGAGCGCATCGTCGCGTACCTTTGGCAGCTGGCCAGGGAGGGCGGCAGACGGGCAGCCGAGATTCTCGGGACGGACATTATCGAGAACGAAGCTGGCACGCTGACGAAGTGCGGCCTCGTCAATGTCTGGTTGCCCGTGAGGACGGCTGACGGCGAAGGGGACGGCGCCGTCGTGTCAGCGGCCGAAACGGCGCAGGCACTGGCGTGGGCACAGAAATGGCTCGTCGACGAGAAGAAAACGTTCATTCCCATTTCTGTGCACACGGGCAGGTGGGTATGCGCGCCTCAGCGCGCAGGTCTACCTCGACGTGGAAGACTTTGAATGGGCCGCTCATCGACTCAAGGAGGTCAGCGAGGAAATCAGCAAAGGAGCCTTCAGATGAAGCCCCCCCCCCCAGCTTCCTGCGGTTTCATCATATAGTATACATCCCCAGATTAATCAAACAACATGGTTCGCTACACGTTCAGAAACCACAAACGCTGTGCTGCCAAATAGAGTTCCTCCGCATCACATCCCCAACGAGACCGGGGCCAGCCCTCCGTCGGCAATCGCCGCCCCCTCCGATCAATATCGAGGTCATCGAAGCCGCGTCCGTGATTGGGTACCAAGCTTCCGCGACAACGCCTTGCAAGGGTCATGGGTCAAAACGAGCTAGGAGGAATTGCTGTGTACATGTCAAAGAGGACTGACATCCGAGTGCTCGCAAACAGGATCCAGAGCAGGGCCCCTCATCGGTAAAATGTATGTGTGGATTGGCAAGGAGGGACTGGGTCCTCGGCTATATACATCCCTTGAAGATATGTACACTAGAACGGCATTGCCAGACTTCACTCGCCGGGGGTCCTTCGTTATGCCCCGAGCGCTTCACCCGCCCCTCGTGACAGGCACAGGCTTGACTGCTTTCTCAACGTCTCGCAACGGCCCTCAGGGCAGGCACTGGCTGTAGTACTCGCTCGAAACCTTGCACGTGCCCGACGCGCAAGTCGTAGGTCCCGTCCAGCCGATACCGCCGCACTGTCCCCAGAGCTGGGCCGAGCCGCCGCCGCCGGACGAAGGAGGAGGCGAGCTTGGGGGCGGGGTCGAAGGAGGAGGCGTCGAGGGGGGCGGACTGCTGGGCGGCGGGCTGCCGGAGCAGGTGATGGGCCTGGGGCCGGGGATGGCGTAGGTGCGACCGCCGTTGTCGGGCTGGCCAGTGTTGCCGTAGATGGAGATGAGGACACCGGGGTCCGTGGCCGAGTAGGCGCCGGGGAAGGATACAAAGTTGGAACCCGTGTTGCTACCCGAGCCGGTGACGCGGATCCTGGGCTTGTTAGCTGATGCTGTGACAGACTCATGTGGTGACGTTGGCAGGCGGTAGACGTGACGGTGAAACGATGGACAGGCAGGGGAGCAAGACAGGGGAACATACTGGGCACACTCAAAGTAGAACTGGGCCTCGCCGCGAACGCTTGCGCCGTGCAGGGCCAGCAGCTCAACACGCATGAGGTAGTCGCCAGGCGCAACACAGGTCGGCAGGTCAAAGTAGTACCAGCCACCGTTGGAGATCATCGTGTCGACAGCCCACTTGCCGCCGCTGAGACCGTTCTCGGCGACTTTGAACCACTGCAGGCCCGTCGACGAGGCCGAGGCCGCGTTGGCGACCTTGGCGAGGTAGACCATGATGGGGCCCTTGTGGGAGGCGGCGATGGGGTGGTCGGGATCGTTGGAGCCCTGGGGTCCGCCGATGACGTGGCCCCACCAGGCGCCGACGCGGGCGCCGGCGGGCACGGTGAGGATGTTGTTGTCCTTGTACTGGATGTTCTTGTTGCAGGCAAAGTCGGCGTCGTTGACGTTCTGGACCGGGTTGTTGCTCGAGGGGGCGCGCACGCCCTTGAGCTGGCCCTGGTCAACGCCGTTGACGGAGACCTTTTGGAAGATGGCGTGGCTCGTGGCCGTAGCCGCGAGGGCAAGGAGCGTGAGAAGCTTCATGGTGAAGAAGGAGAGGAGGAAGGGAAAGTGATTCTGTGTGAGAAGACCGTCTTTCTGCTACACCATCGTTCGAACTTTCGTGCCATGCTCTCTATTTATGATCTGCGCATCCGGAGAAGCTTGTTCATCGAGTTCGCCTGGTCGTGCGATCCAGGGCAGCGGTACATGTCGATCCGGGAGTTGCTCCTTTCAGACACGGATGCAACCACAGCTGACACGGCTGGTTCTGTCAACCACGGTACTCGCCTTGAAATCTGGGGCAACGCCCTTGACTGAGCGGCTAGGCCCCCGGGCTAAACAAGCCTTGTCTGGGGCAACCCCCCTCCATCATCTAGCTGGGCCACACGTGCGGCGGCGGTTCGAGCAAGGTCAGCCAGATCGCTTAGCTTACCTTGACCTGCCCAATCTGTTCGGCGTGGCTCCGATAGGTCGTACCAAGAAACAAGGCCAGACGACGGCTTCTCTCGTCCGGTAATTAAATCAGGAGACCCGAAAAGCGTCTATGATCGGGCCGAGATCCAGCGCGATAAGCGGTTGGATATTGTCAACAGCACACAGAAGGCGGGGAGGCGAGAGAGCATGTGGCGTGCTCGCGCGCAGGCAGTCCATGGCAGGTGCCGGCCGTGCAATACTTCATCGGTGGCACCAACTTGTATATAACGGACAGGAAATGAATGTCCGAAGTCCCGAACAGGATGGTGGCCAGTCGTCACAGCAAGTAGCCGTCCATGCGCAGGAGAGAAATCTGGGCGTATAAGCAAAGCAGGCCAGAATAACATGGCAGAGGTCAAACGTCGTGTATGACCACTGACATTGCCGCACTGCAATGTCACCGTGCTGCGAGCTGCAACGGCTTGCGTAATAGAATGAATTGTTCATCAACCCTGTTCGGGCGGTAACTCCAGCGTGTATCCAAGGTAGCCCTTCATATCTACCGATAATGCAATGCCCACAAAGACACCGATATCCCCAGTCTGTGTCATCCGACGCAAATGACAAGAAACCAAATACATTCGCCGTCCCGTACAAAATTCCAAGTAGGGTCTTAACCGTTGAACTCCCAGCGCGTCACTCTCTGCGGGACAAAAATAGTACTCAAACGCCGGAGGCCTTGGCCTGGACAACCAATAAATCAGCCTTGATATTCTTGGCGATCAAGTTCGCCGCGGCAGCGCCCGAGGCAGTCCTTGACCTCGTCGCCGACGTACTTCTCGGCGCGGCGGCCGAGGACAACCAGGTTCTGCCAAGTCACTTCCTTGGTATCGACACGAATTTCCTCCTTCGCGCGGCTGAGCACCACCTCGGCAGGGTTCGCTGCCGTCACAGCCTCGTACGTGATGCGTGCTGCGACCGACCTGTCGGCATTGGTCGAGATGAACGACGGCACGTCGTCATCGCTGGCATGCGCCGAGTCGGCAGAGACATGAATGATCGTGGCGGTGGCATCCTGCTTCTCGCAGAGTTGAAGAACAAGCATCAGGGCAAAGTCGTCATCGTGGCCTCCAAGGTAGGGGAAGAAAATGTGGTGAGACCGGTTGGTGACGGGAATGGCGGGTATGTCGTCGTGGAGGTCACTGAATGAGTAGGCTCGCATAAGCTTGGAGCGCTCCTGCTTTGGCTCGGCTGTAGGCTGCGTGCTGTTGCCTTGAGGGAAGAAAATGGCAATATTGTGTTGCGTCGACGCGAATATCGACTTGACAAAGTTGATGTACGTAGTTGATGTCAGCTTGCTCTCCGACGTGGCAAATTGCGAGTCGGTCAAGCTGCCCGTCTCGCTCCAGGGCACCAGCAGGAGGTCGGACGAAATGTCGGACGACTTGGCGAGCAGAGCTTCTGTGAATCGAGTCTCGGGCATGACGGCCACCTCACCGGAGACGGCAATCTTGAGGAATTGGCCGACAGTGCGGAAAATGTTGACGACAGAGTCATTACGGCTGTACTCATAGACCTGCGAGACAGTCATGACAGAGGAGTCACGATCCGTCAGAGCCATGAGACGTAGACCGTGGGCCTTGACAGCTGGCTGGATGGCATGTGCCTCGGACGAGGCCACCGTCTTCTCATCAGCTGCCGTCTGCTGGCCGAGGGGCGCGGGCTTGCCAAAGAGAGACACGAGGTTGAGCATGGAAGGCATGTTGTCCAGGCGAAGATAGACGAGCACGCGGCGGACACGCGTCGTCGCCGGCTTGACCGCGGCGCTGTCCGAGCCTGATGCAGCCGAACCCAGAGGCGCGCCTGTGTCCCAGTCAATCTCGCCACGCTTCCACGCGGCGAGCTTCTTCTGATACGAAGGCGGGTAGAGGAAGGAGACGATGGGCGTCGTCGCAAAGGTCGTGAGCAGGGCCATGACGACGAAAATGGTGAATGTCCTGGTACTGAGAATCCTAGCCTGCAGACCAATGTTCTACGCCATGTAAGCAAGGTAACGTGCAGTCGAAGAGGGTGCAGTGCTTACCAAGACGATGAGCTCGACAAGGCCCTTGCAGCTCATGAGGGCACCAATAGTGAACGACTCGCGCCACACGAGGCCGTTGAGGCGGGCAGCGACGGTAGCACTCATGACCTTGGCGAAGAAGGCCGTCAAGGTGACGGCGGCGACGTAGCCCCAGGCGATGCCGCTGTCGAGGAGACCAATGTCCGTCTTGAGACCAGACAGGGTGAAGTAGAGCGGCAGGAAGATGGCGCCAATCAGATCCTCGAGCTTTTCGGTGACCTTGATGTTGAAGCTGTTCTCACGGGGCAAGATCAGGCCGACCATGAAACCGCCGAAAATGGCGTGTACGCCGATGATAGCCGTGAAGAATGCCGAGGCGAGGGCAATGAGCAGAATCAGGGAGATCATGCTCTGCGAGGGTCCATCCTCAATATTGCCGGTCCTGCGTAGGAGCCACAGGAGGGCTGGCTTGACAGCGTACATGAGGAAGAGCATGAAGCCGGCGCAAGACAGCAGAATCCATACGGCCGTGAGACCACTGCCGGCGTTGGCGAGGGCGACGCAGAGGGCGAGCAGGATCCAGCCTACGTGAGGTGAGACAAAAGTCAGTGTGGTTCCTCTCCCCCACCGTTGATTCGCCGCGACCTGTCACTCACCAACGACATCGTTTGCGACACCAGCCGCAAGCGTAATGACACCAACGGACGTGTCGAGGAGCTTGAGCTCGGTCAAGATACGGCAGAGCACAGGGAAAGCCTGGGAGCCTATGATCAGCACTGCGGACTCGGGGCGCAGAAGGGGTGGCAAAGAGCGGGGCGCAAGACGCACCGTGATGGCAATGGCAACACCAACGAACAGCATGTAAATGGGGAAGTCGATGTGCAGGATACCGGGATCGTCCGAGAACTGGTTGTAGATGCCCCACGCCAAGGCACATCCCATGCCGAAGGGAAAGGCGAGACCAGCAACGGAGACGGAGGTGGCGATGCGCCAGTTGCTCAGCAGGAAACCGACGTCCGTCTCCATGCCGATGATGAAGAGATACAGCACGAGACCGACGTTGGCGATCAGTGTGAGGTTCGGAATGGATTCGGAGGGAAAGATGGCATCGCGGAAGCCCGGTATACGACCCATGACGGAAGGGCCCAAGACGATACCGCCTATGACTTCTGCGATGACGCGAGGCTGGCGGATTTTGGCGAGGGGCCAGTGGAGGGCGTGGCAGACGATGAGGATCATGCCGGCCTGGGTTGGGCACGCACGCGTCAGTTTTGGTCCGGGGGGGGTTTTGGTGGCAACTCGCGCATGGGCGCCTACCTGGATGATGAAGATGACAATGGGATCATTGGGGTTGTACTCGGAGGGATTGGCGCCCTCAATGACGCCGCCCTGGGGAGGCGCTCTGTTGCCGTCGTCCGACATGACGGGGGATGGTGGCCGCGGCGGCCTGGGGCAGAGGGCTCGGCGATGCGAGTTTGCTGTGACGGGTCGGGAGGTGGGCAGATGGTAGGATGCAAGACGACGGAGGGCCGACGTGCCAACAACGACCGGGAAGAGCGGGTGGTGGAAGAGATAAAGAAGGGAAGCCAGCGGTTGGGACAAGATGGAGTACAAAGCCAAAATAAGCTCGAGTCGGCCAAGACTACGAGTCTAGCGCATGTGGCGCCAGATCGTGCCAAGACGAGGAAAGGACCCTTGGCCTAGGTGACCAGGTAGCACCAGAAAAAGGAGGGGGAGCACCAGAACAGGCGGGGGCAGGCGGCAGTGAGCAGGCACCTTGTCCAGGTTGTTGCTCTTTCAGCGCGCTCTCCCCTCCTTTTGCAGGGTAGGGGGGGCCGAGGAGTAGGCAGGCAAGCAAGGCAAGGCAGGCATAGACAGAGGGCTGGCAGGTGAGAGGGGGAAGGCGTCCAGGCGAACAAGGGTTGGCGGGCAGGTAGGAGGGGGGCGATGGTGGAGAAGGTGGAGGCATGGAGGCGCATGCACATCCCGAAGCGCCCCCCCCCCCCTTCCCCCCAATCTTGGGTTACTGTTGCTCATGTTCATGCTTAATCACTGGCTCCTCCTGCCTATCGCACCACTATACAAACTCACTCCAAACGGCGCCACCCTTCAGTGTGGTACGTACGAACTTGCCGTTGGGACGCCTGGGACGGTACCTTGGGGTGACAAGGTGAGCGAGCAGGCGAGGCGGTGCCCTCCAAGATCCTAGAGGGGCGTGCCATGACCTTCGGGCGGTGAGACAGTGGCATGTGGCATGGCCGCGTGCACCAAAAGGCTAGCCCAGCCCAGCCCAGCCGCCTGGGACGTTCGAGGACAGGACGACTCTTGTCTTTCCTTTTTGCTTGCTTTCTTAGGGACTGCTGAGCGCGGTTCTGTCTCCCTCGCTGTGCCATTCCTCAGGTACCTAGCTACCGTACATACTGATCTCCCTCCCTCAACCGAGCCTACCAGGACGAAGGCATGTAGCAATCTGATCATCGTGCTGCACGTGCTTCTGAGCCACGCAACCCTGCAGCTGCCAATCCAGCCCAGCTCGTGTCGCCCAAGTCAGGTGTCGGTGAGCCCTGGAAAATGACGTCAAGA